GGGGGGGGGGGGGGGGAGGATTCGGAGCAAAGACTGAAACCGGGAAGAGAATAATTCCCAAAGAAAATCGCACGAGCAGCATCCCATTCCTGGGAAAAAAACAAAAAAACAAAAAACACGAACTCTTCCCGAAGCACAAAAGCAAGGATGGCACTTTCTCAGCTTTGAGCTGCGTCGCTGCTCTCCCACCCCCTCCACTCGTCCCCACGTGCGGCGAAGTTTCTGCCACTGGGGGGGGGTGGAGGGGGATGGAAGGAGGTGAGGGATGGGGGCAAAGCCTGGAGCCTGCCTGTCCGCTCGCACGAGCGGAGTGGGTGGGTGGGTGGGTGGGGGAGGAGGAGGAAGAGAGACTCCGGCTGGGCTTGAAGGGGCTTCGCAAGTTGCGGAGCTCCGCCCCCGTCGCTCTTGCACCGAGTGACAACAATGTATTTGCCGGCGTATAAGACGACCTTTGTTATATACTCGCCGTATAAGACGACCCCCCCACTTGGAGGCATGTTTTTCAGGGCAAAAAAGTCGTCTTATACGCCAGCAAATACGGTACTTATTTTATTTACCATTCTAAATCTTCTATATTAACTTCTCCACATATTTCACTCTTCTTAATTCTATCTTAATTAATCATCTTAATTTGAGTCATTATATTTATATCTTTTGTCCATTCTCTATTATACCTTTGTCTCATTCCTTTTAAAAAGAAAGAAATTTCTCCTGAAATCACTAATCAGAGTATGATGCCTTTCTATCTCCCCACTAAATTAATCAAATTAATCTTTAAAATACCCAATCCGATTTTGCTTGGTACATTCTAACTGAATAATACATCTAAAACAATTAAATACATAGTTAAGCAATAGATTTAAATATTAAAAACAAAATACTATAATGAAAGTTTTATAATAACATCAATACCATAATCTTAATAAACTCTTTAATTAAAGTTTAATATTCTAAATCTCCCCTCATATTATATTTTCAAACCAATCATTATTAACATTCCAACATTTTAATGTTTTATCAACTCTCAATCCATTTAAATTTTCTATTTCTGATACAATACTACAATATCATCTTATGTACCTTGCAAAATCTCTTTGAAGAAATTATACTTATCCTTTATCCCTAAAAAAAATTTCTTTTTTCTCATTTAATTTCAAAACTTTGTAGCTTTTCTCCACCTTTTCCCTTTCTTTCTTCCCCCAACAAACCTTTCTAGCCCCCCTTCTTCTAGCCTCTGCCTTACTGGCTTCCCTTCTCTGTCGCGTTTCTCTTCCCTTTTGTTTACCATCCTTATATTGATTTTGCACCTTGTTTTTCCCTTTCTTAAATGTTTTTTTAAATCTTAAGTCCTTTATTTCTCTTCTTTTTTTTCCTCTTCCTTTCCTCTTGGTCGAGTTCTGAGATTTATTAAAGATGGCTTCCTCCCTTTGTTCTTCTTCTGCTGTCTTCATCTGTTGCAATGTTTGTTGATAATTAATAAGCGCCATTTCTAAAAAAAGAAAGGCTTCTTTCACACCAGCTTTACCATTTTGTTTTGCTTGCTCATAATCTTTTCTCAGTTCCTCGATAGAAGAAGCCATTATAAATCTTTTCTTTTCTTTTCTCTTACAACAGCCAGAATATTCCAAAGGAAAAATAAGACAATCCCAAAGTTCTCAGTCAGTCCAAACCAAGACAGAGTTCCCACTCTCTCCTCCTGGGGTAGTATCAATTAGAGAAAAAGAAAGTCCAAATCTGTTTCTTAAAGTCTTATTGCAATATATTTTAGTCTTTCAATCCTTAAGGCATCTCCTCCAACAAGGTCTTAGCATACAAATATTTTTTTTTTTAAGTCCTCTCTTTTCCCACTCACCGCTTAGAGCCAGTTTTCACCTAACAAAAATAAGTTTCTTAATGTTCACTTTTTATTCCGTGAAAAAAGAGGGTAAGCTATCCTTTCAGCACCATTAAACTGCCGCTTTTTTCCTCTTCTCGAAGGTATCATTCAGAAAGTCATACTTTTCAGGAATTTTGTTAAATATGTCTTAGAGTCCTAGGAACCAAGAAAAACTTTCTCCTCTCAAACACTTTCTCCACTTCCTCCTGCGCATTCTTACCCGGCTGCCAGCTTCTTTGTGGCGGCCATTACTGACCGCCGCTGCACCGTCCTGGGAAAAGGGGGTTCTGCCGGCCGGGAAGGGGGTCTGCAACACCCCCAAACCCTTCTCCGGATTCCCCCTACCTTCAGCTGCCCCTGCAGGGCAGCCTAGCTCCGTACCCGTCTGGGTCGGAGCCCCAAAAACGGCTAGCGCGGCAGGGATCGCGCAGCTCCGCAAATCCCTGCCGCTCACGAAGCCGACAAACCGGCGGGATGGCAATGGGTAGTTTTCTGATAACATTTGGGCATCCCAACCATTATGGTGTATAAATAAACCACCGATTCAGTTATAGGTAAGTCAGTGAATTAAATCTTACGCAATGATGCTGAATTCAGACATTTACTTAACCAGAGATTAAATAAACTTACAATTAGCTGGCTGGAAATGGGATGTTTTTCAAAAGGTGGTGAATATGCTTACATAATACAGGTAGTCTTCAACTTACAACAGTTCATTTAGTGACCGTTTAAAGCTACAACAGCACTGAAAAACATAGTCATGACCATTTTCAGTTACAATCTTTGCAGAATCCCCGTGATTATGTGATCAAAAATCAGATGCTTGGCAACTGGTTCATACTTATGACTGTTGCTGTGTCCCAAGGAGGTTATGTGATCTCCTTTTGTGACCTTCTGATGAGCAAAGTCAAAGGAGAAGCCAGATTCTCTTAACAACCTTCTTACTAACTTAGGAACCTCAGTGATTCATTTAACAACTGTGGCAAGAAAGGTCATAAATTGGGGCAAAACTGACTTAGCAAATGTCTCACTTAACAGCAGAATTTTTGAGCTCAATTGTGGTCGTAATGCAAGGACTACCTGCACAGGCAGTCCTTGACTTACAATTGAGCTTGAAACTTCCATTGCTAAGTGAAACCGTTAAGTGAGTTGCACCTGATTTTTATGACCTTTTCCACCAGAGTCATTAATCAAATCATCACAGTTGTTAAGTGAACACTAGGTCATTAAGTGAATCAAGTCTCCCCCATTGACTATGCTTGATGGGAGCCAGCTGGGAAGATCACAGTTGGTGATCATGTGATCCTGGGATGCTTCAGCCATCATAAATCCATGCTAGTTGCCAAGGGCCCAAATTTTGATCATGCGACTACAGAGATGCTGCAATAGTCATAAGTGCAAGGACTGGTTATCACTTTTTTTCCGTGCCATTGTAATTTCAAACAGTCTCTGAACAAATGGTGATAAATCAAGGACCACCTGAATGCTTGGTTAGAAATAAGAAGCTACATTTTGCCTTAGCATATGAAATCAGGCCCAAATAGATATAGATACTTAACTTACCACAATGTACAGAGCACAAAGACAGGATTTGTTCCCCATGCTAGGCCAAAACCAACGAAGCACATTATGGTTTAGTGTAATATGTGAACCCAAGCACCGATTCAAGTGCTCCATGTCCTTCTTTACAGCATATAGCAATAGCACTTAGTCTTATATATTGCTTCACAGTGCTTTACAGCCCCCCCCCCCAAGCAGTATACAGAGTCAGCCTATTGCCCCAGACAATTTGGGTCCTCATTTTACCACCTCGGAAGGATGGAAAACCGTGTCAAACTTGAGCCTGGTGAGATTTGAACTGCCAAATTGCAGGCAGCCGACAGCTGGCTGTCAGCCGAAGTAGCCTGCAGTACTGCACTCTAACCACTGCACCACCATGGCTCGATCTATAATTCTATAAGTGTTGCTGCTGGACATTTACAGTTGATGTTTTTGTTTGTCCTTTCTTCATCATAGTGCCAGTTCGAGATGATGGTAATATGCCAGATATTCCTGCTCATCCCTGTGACAAGGAGGGTGAAGTTGATTGGCTGAAGAAATGAGAACCTGCAGAGTGCAGATCTCCCCACAAGGTTCCCCTGCCTTGGTTGTACATGTGTTTCTTCCCAGGGGCAATAAATTTCCTCTTCTATCTAAAAGCAGGTTTCTCTGTTGTTGTGGCTGGAAATTTAGATCAGGAGCGGGTGGGAGGATACCTGGAATTTTTGGAATATCCTCATAAAATCAGGTTGTTAAAGCTCTTAGGAGGCTTAAGTTGTGGGGCTTTTTTTAACTAATGGAACTGGGATTTTTTTTCTGGAGTTAAGTGCCTGATACCACTGCACATAGTCACAAACGGCTGCTTTAGGAAAAATAGTGGCAACCTGCTACACCAGTTAGGGAAAAAAAAGAAAGAGAGCAACACTCTTGTGTTTCATATTGTCAAGAAAAGGAGGTACAGAGAAGATGACACTATGCACTGTCAGAAAATTGTTTGGGAAAAAATCATGGTGCACAATTGTTTATTGACATGGTTTCCTTCCTTCTACCTTCCAGTTCTAAATTAGGACACTGAACCAAATCTTGGAGGAAAATTTGACTGGACTTATACTGTATATGCTAAGCCGTAATATGGCTTGTTTGGTTTCAACATAGCATGATATATCAATGCAATAGTTAATTTCTAAATTTAGGTCAGTTAGTCAATTATTTAATGTGCTGTAGAGGCCCAGCTAATTGTGGTTTATGTGCCTGATTCACTCTCCTTGGTAGAGCCAAAAAGGTGCTAGTTAAAATTACGGGCACAATTTGTGCAATGTATTTAGCCAAGCAGACTCATTCGTAAGAGTTTTCTTGCCTCCATCTTACCCTCCCTACAGAGTGTGCTGCAGTGGCTGAACCAGTAGTAAAAAAACCTACTGGTTCAGCTGAACCAGTAGTAAAAAATCTACCGGTTCGGTTGAACTGGTATTTCCGATGACCAGCTTGGTGACAATCAGCTGTGCCATGCGATTTAGATTACCATATTTGCCGGCGTATAAGACGACTGGGCGTATAAGACGAGCCCCCAATATTTCCACTCAAAATATAGAGTTTGTTATATACTCGTCGTATAAGACAACCCCCCCCCCCACTTGGAGGCATGTTTTTCAGGGCAAAAAAGTCGTCTTATACGCCGGCAAATACAGTAAGTTGTAACACTTGGGGTATTCTGGATATAATTCTTGATTGACACCCCCGCCCCTTTCCCCCAAACTTACAAAGCCACCAAAATGCTTTAGAGAGGCAGCTTCGCCTTTCTCAGGCTGGCACTCAATTCCTCTCCCTTTCTTTGTGACACCGTTGAGCGATCTGCTTTTTTAAGGGGAAAATAAAAAAAATAAAAATAAAACTGGACGAAAAACAGTCGAGTTGTTTCTTAATATCTTTCCACCTCCCCAACCAATTTGTCTCCAAGGGTGCACCACACTGATTGCGACATTAATTATTTCAGAGGGGGGGGGAGAAATCTTTACTTCCTACTGTGGCTTTTTCCTGTGCATCGTTCTGGCTGCACTCGGATGGCGAGCTGGCCGGAGCAGTCTGGCGCATGTGCAGCTCACCGTTGGGGGCTGGGGGGTGCGGGGGGGGGGGAGAGAAGGCCTCCTTATTTCCACGCGGGGAGGCTCGGTCGCTGGACCGTGGACGAGCGCAAAGGAGAGAGTTCTGAGTGCGAAAGGGCCGCCACTGATCAGGCACAAGAAACTGGTCCTTTTTTCCCTTGGCTTTGTGGTTGTTACTTCTTACAGGGAGGGATAATGAGATACCCACGCTGGGAGAAAGCGGAAAGGATGTCTATTTTCCTGCTCACTAACTTTCCAGAAAGCGTTGAGTTCCTACCCCGAGACTTGCCAAAAGTCCAGTTCATTCATTTGCTACCTTTCTCCAACGAGATCCAGATCTGTTTCCACAACACGCTTAGGATCTTATCTTATTATCTTATTAGCCTTGCTCGGTCCGTCCAAGAGAGAAGAAGGCAGATGGTTTTGCGCTCAGGGAGAAAGAAAAGGAGCCTCTCGCTCACGCTGCACACTGCCCCCCCCCCTCCACCCCAGCAACGTTTAGGAAAAGAGTTACACAAGCATCCTTTCCAGAAGTGAATCTGGGGGTGGCGGGGGGGGAGGATTCGGAGCAAAGGCTGAAACCGGGAAGAGAAAACTTCCCAAAGAAAATCGCACGAGCAGCATCCCATTCCTGGGAGAAAAACAAAAAACACGAACTCTTCCCGAAGCGCAAAAGCAAGGATGGCGCTTTCTCAGCTTTGAGCGGCGTCGCTGCTCTCCCATCCCCTCCACTCGTTCCCACGTGCGGCGAAGTTTCTGCCACTGGGGGGGTGGAAGGAGGTGAGGGATGGGGGCAAAGCCTGGAGCCTGCCGGTCCGCTCGCACGAGCGGAGTGGGTGGGGGGGGGAGGAGGAGGAAGAGAGACTCCGGTTGGGCTTGAAGGGGCTTCGCAAGTTGCGGAGCTCCGCCCCCGTTGATCTTGCACCGAGTGACAACAACGTATTTGCTGGCGTATAAGACGACCCCCCCCACTTGAAGGCATGTTTTTCAGGGCAAAAAAATCATCTTATACGCCGGCAAATACGGTAGCTAGAAAGCAGGAAATCGTCTGATGTCTTGCTTTCTAGCTAATCTAAATCGTGGGCACAGCTGATTTCTCCCCCTCACTTCATAATGCTGGGTTTTTTTTCCAGCTCTCAGGAGCTTTCCCTGAGGCCCACTAGGCCAAAAACTGGGCGTTGGGGGGGGGGGGGGGTTGCAAAAGAAAGACAGAGGGAGGGATGGGAGAAATGGAGGGAGAAGAAAGAGGAAGAAAAAGAAAGGGAGGGAGGGAAAAAGGAGAGGAAGGAAGGCCCACAAACCTTGCCAGTAGACCAAGGGTCTTCTAACTTGGCAAGTTTAAGACTTGTGGACTTACTTCCGGTTTGGGCTTCTTCGGCGACGGACCAAAATCGCGATCGTCCGCAGTTTTGATCTGTGCTCACCACTGGAGCACCCCGAGACGCCCGGATTCGGGGCTGAAGCCACCCCGTAGAAGTGGTGAAGAAGGGGGAGCCGTCAGCAGGGTTGAGGAGAGCCGCATCTCTCCTCCTCGGCTGGCCATTACTCTCTTTCCCAAAGGCAGTTGCAGCGGTGGTCAGAAATGGCCACCTCAAAGAAGAACCCGACCGGACAAGATTGTGCAGGAGGAAGTTTAAAGGAGAAAGTTTGACTGACTGGGTTGAATGGAGAACATCTATTTAAGGTACCTGGAACCTGAATTTTAAAGACTAATACTATTCCTAAAAAATATCTGAAGCTGCGAAAGAGAAAGGGAAAGGAAACGGAATTGGCTTGTTTTCCTCTAACATTGACAGTTTTAACTGACTTGGAACGTTAAGCAGAAGAGATTCAAATAAGAAATCGATACTAATCCACTTTGACATTAATAGGCTATTTCTAGCTGAAAATAAAGTGTCAAAGGGATAAAGATTCTTGGATAATTTAAAAACTTTCTTTAAAAAAAGAAATAAAGAAAGCAGCGGAGGGAAAAAGGAGAAAAGAGGGTGGAATCTGGAAAATGGAGGAGACCACCTGGAACTTAAAAAAAATTGATAGTGGAATTTTAACAAGGCTTGCAAAAGATACATTGTAGCTGAAACTTTGTTACAAGAGAACGAATCCCCTGGAAAGAGAAAGTGAGAAAAGAAGCAAGAAACAGTTTTGGATTATTGGATGATTCCTGGAACTTTGGATGGAGGATCCTATTGAAATAAAATAAAATCAACTGGGGGTTGTTTAAATTTTTTTAAAATGGCATCACTCCTTGAAGAGTTAAAAATGAGACTTAAAGAACAAAAAGATGAAGCACAAGACGGAAGAGGATCTTTTGGCTTCGTATTTCAATTTTTAGAAATGGAGATCTTGAACTATGAAAAACAAGAAACGCTGGCAGAACAAGAAGGGCGGGACAACAAAGAAGCCATCTTCAATGACCAAGCAATTTTAAGCGGGGTAAAATAGGGAAAGGGGGGGACTTCCGTTTGAAGGGCTTTGCGGCAGGCAGGAATCCGCGATCGTGCACGGTTTCTGCCTGGGCTCGCCGCTGGAGTGCCCCGAGCCAGCTGGCTTCGGGGCTAAGCCACCCCGTAAAAGTGGTGAAGAGGGGGGAGATTGCCAGCAGGGTCGAGGAGAGCCGCATCTCTCCTCCTCAGCTGGCCATTACTTCCTTTCCCGAAGGCGGTAGGAGCGGTGGTCAGAAATGGCCACCTCAAAGAAGCACTCAACCAGAAAAGAAAGTGCAGGAGGAAGATAAGAAGTGAAAGTTTTGGCTGACCGGGTTAAAGAGCAGCAACTAAGGTACCCTGGAATTTAAATTTTATAAAAGATAACATCGCTCCCAAAAGAAGAGTCGGAAGCAGCGAAAGAAAGTGAAAGGGGAAAGGTTTTTTTTCTTCTCTCTCCTTCCTTACATTGACAACTAAGAGATCTGAATAAGAAATCAGAAAATCCCGCTTTGGCATCAATAGGCAATTAAGCTGAAAATATAATTAAATGCCAAAGGGATAATTGTGGTAATATAATCTATTGATCATTTTATCATTTTCTGTAAGGCCT